ATGTGTTAAAAAGCAGTTAGTCGAACATAGAAGTGATGCAAGTGTATTGGAGAAAATCAACAGTTACTAAATCAGTGACGGTCCAATTTCGAAAATCTTGGAGTATTTTTTGAGAATCGTAACCTTTCGACTAAACAAAAGTGAGTATCGTATCTCTTTCGTTAAAAAATTATTTCCTTCGGAATAATGAGAACACTTTTCCGCCAGCTCCAGTTATGGCTGCATACCCTCGGGAATGACAGATCTTAAAACTGACAGGTAGCCACCTTGCCGAAGTAGCCTGAACTTTTACCGCCCCTAAGAAATGCGAGCAGCAACACTCTCACAACCGTTTTAACAAGCGCCACTTATGGAATAGACCATTAGGAAGGATAGAAGCAACTTCTCTAGTATGGGATTCAAGTGGACAACTTTTTTGGATATTCATTTGTTTTATAACTAATTTCAAGCGATCGAATTCGTGATCGTGGAAAGGCATTATGAATTAATAACCAATCTCGGACAGTTTTTTGAGATTTACAATTCACTATCATTTTTAAATGACTTGCTGTTTCAATTATTGATTGTGACACGACTTCAACAGATTTTGCCCATCTTTTACTATCTGAACTGCATCCGCTCGAACTCAGCAAGACTGTTTTTCTGCACGTGTTTTGAGATTTGGCTCAGGAAGACCCGGTTATGAAAATGAGCAATAGGTTGCCGCCTGCGAAGCTAGAGGTAAACCCTACGACTAGCTAAGCTTGATATTCTCAATATTCTGAAAAGGAGCTGATCGTCTCACTTCTAGATTTGTTTCCTAACATCTACGTCGTGGAGTGTTAACAAGTTTCTTCACTAGCCATTCAAATCACACCTCTACTTCTTTTTTAGAGCGCATTGGCCACACCTAGACAATCGTGGGGACGTTTACAGGCGTATATCGCGTAGCTTCTGAGACATTTAAGAGGAATTAAGCTAAGACATGCCTTCAATCCAATATACTGTATGGTTCACAGAAGTTGACAGAGGAATTCGCAAAGGTCTTTGAATGCAGATTATCCAATTAATGGTGTGGCCTCTACAATTGCGGGGGCTAGCCAATGTATAGGTTAGTGTTTTTTCTCCCAGGCAATTCTACCACCAACTGACCTTCCGCGGTGGGATAGAGGACTTCGATGCCTGGACAAGATCCCCCCTCATTAATTTTTCCATTTACCTTGTAATATAAAAAGAAAATAAAGACCAGCAATTTCTTGAGCTCATTCTCTTCTCGCTCTTCATGAAGACTTAACGACCATCTCAAAGGAGCCAGTAAGTCTGTAATGTTTAGCAGAGTGCCATGCGCTCCATTAAATTTCACAAGGGAAAGAGAAAAAGAAGGAGAGTGTACCGAGTTATGAGATAGCAACAATGGCCTGCGGTGGCGCCGGTACATGCATTGGCACTTTCTAGCACAGCATGCAGAGCGGACGGCAAGATAAGCAGACGGTGCCGCATAATGTATTGGCACATGGTCCCGATAATAGCGTTCTCCAAGCTAGAAGCCTCAAGAGCCGCTGTAGTCAGACGACCTGCCTTCAATGATAATTTGTTAAACGATTTGTTTGAACGTATACGCTTATAATTTAGCGCAAGAAGCGCAGTCGCAGCGACTGCGGAGGCAGAGGTTGCGGAGACGGTTCCTCCGGGGTTTTTAGTTTTGGTGGGGGTGCAAAGAGTGAAGAGCGACATTTCGTGAAGATGTAGCCAGAAAGCTTCTAACTTCTTAATTTATCAACTTTGCCGTTAGTTCCCTGTACGAAAAAATTTCGAGCAGTTCCTTGCAGGTTTGGGCAGTAGTCGTCCATGTATGAACATGGTGCCCGTAATGCACGTGTCAGGCTTTTTCGCGGCAAACAGGCGTGATATTCGTGTTCAGGAGATCAAACTACCCTTGGAGATAAGTTTCCTACCGAATCTGAGATTTTGACCCAACCCTAAAAAATGAGGTGAGTCAACCATCATATCATCAACCTATCGTTGAACTCTTGGCATGGAAATTGCCTTCCAACCAAGATTTTGAAAAGAGAAACGTTCAACGGCTCACATTTCCGCATAATGGAAATGATTTACATGACTCTGCATCAAAATTCAGGGAAGGTGCTTTTCCAGTTAGTTTTCGATTCATACCTTCTCTCGTTTGACTGTATGTTGACTGCCCTTTCTCGAGTGTAGGTCAAAATCTCAGATTCAGCTGGAAACTTGTAACCAGGGAAAATTCGGTCTCCTGAACACGAATATCATACTCGTTTACCGCAAAAACACCTTATCAGTGGGCTATGAGCGTCGTTTTCAGTCATGGCAAATATTAATTAAAAATAGCTTTCAACCTGCGCAGAGGTGCTCCCTAACTCCTTACACAGGCAGGTAAAGGCAGGCAATTGAGGAGATACTGTCGCTAAAAGCCTTTCTGGTCATGTTTTCAAAAAGGCAAAACAACAAAACCCCACGAGAGACCGATCATGACCAAGCCTGGAGCGTTACCACTTACGCCACGTCAACCACGATGTGCGCCTTCCCGCTTGGCTTATAGTGGCGACTCCAATGATAGCGCTCATATACTGCGTTTAAGTACAGTGTTGAGGGGAAAACCGTAACTCCGTTCAGAGCACCGTTTAGCAGATAAGAAAAGCGGTTTCTAGCTTATCGTCTCAAGACGAATGCGTAGGTATACCGGACCGACCTGATGACCTGTCCTCTGAGTGAAAGCAGATGTTCAGTGGCAACGCCCTATAGCGTAAATCGTGAAGAAAAAAATTAAGAAGTGTAAGGAGAACTCCTTATCTGGCTAACCCTTGGGTAGCGAAGCAAAGCATCGCCCTCCTTTTTTGCACTCGTATTTACGTTGAGATAGCACAGTTCGCCGAAAAAACGTTTTGCAGCCATTGCACGAAGGAACCTGAATTTTATGATTCAAAAATAAATCGACCGTCAGTCCACCTTTGGCCACATACCTCATAGTGATATCCAGAAGCTGAATCTCCACATACAGCGCACGTAGTTGGGCAAACGTTTTTCGGGTACATAGTGTACGGGACCACCCACATCGTGTTGTTGTTCTCACTTTCTAGGTCCGACGCATGTTTCATGTTCACATGGAAGAACTGTAGATTGAATGGCTACTTTCTGAAAAAAAAAGAGATGACGAATTCAGTCAGCGAATCGATCGTTCGCCATCATGCCATCCGATCCGAATCTCCTCAAGGAAATCACCTTGGAACGAGAATATACAAAAATATAGAAAATATGTTCTAGAATCACAAAAAACTGTGACCATGAAGCTGAAGTCTTGTGCGGGGCTTTCAAGAAGTTTACTCATTCGGCAGCGCGTGTGTGTGGTTGCTTTAGTGGCCTCCAATAAATATGCTTTCTACTGCTGATCTAAAGGTACAATGTGCAATAACAAATCACTGAAACAACCCCTCTCATGAATGAGGTAGCTGGGTGCGCATTCGCAAAGTCAAAGCAATTTTTGCCATCCAGAGTGCGCTGGAAAGACAGTAAAGGCTCTTGACTAATATCTCTTGTAACCTGAGCAGACCCTACGCATCCACGCACGCAAACTGTCGCAAAGTGTTGTGTCTGCGTCTAACTCAAAGCATCTAACTCTTTTTAGCCTTTGCCGCCTCGGCTCTCATTTCCCTGTAGAATGCCTGTCTCGTAAAACAATTTGCCGCTCAGAGAAGTAAGATACTCAATTACAGTGCTTTCATCTGATTTTCGTTTTTCTTCACTAGCACTAGCGCGTAACTTCACCTGTTGCTCAATGCTTGAGCCCCATCACCTGCTTCTGTTATCGCAGAACAAGAATGTGTCTGAGTGAACATATCACAACCTATTACCATGAAATGTAACTTGATTCCTGTGTATTCTTGTAAGCGG